ATGTAATTCTCAGGGGGATGCCGAAGCGCGCGATCCAGTGATAAAGAATCGCATTGACTACTGTTGGCATCCTCGAGTCGATCAGTGGAACTTCTTCTGAGTATCGCGGAAATCTGTCGACGATGGTCAAGCACCAGCTGTGTCCTTTTGAGGCAGGAAGAGAGACTAAATCGACGTGTATGTGTTCGAATCGTCGTGAAGGTGTCTCGATGTTAGCTATTGGTGTAACCGTGTGTCGCGTTATCTTGTTTTTCTGGCACTCCAGGCCGTGTTTGATCCATTGCGCACAGTCTTTGTTTATGCCAGGCCACACGTAGCGTCGTGTCACGAGTTTTCTCGTGCCCTTTTTGGGTCTAGGATGAGCCATTGAGTGCAGTGAGCTGCAGACCTGTTGTCTCAGCGGAGCAGGAACGTATGGGCGAACTGTACCTGATGATACATCACAGTACAGTGGTTCGTCCATTCCTGGGAGTTGTAAGCGGTCCAGTCGCAGATTCACGTCCGGTCGCTGGAGTAATTGTCGGAGTTCTTGATCGTCGCGTTGGGCATCTACCAGCTGTTGAGGTGTGACGGCAGTCGCGATTTCCTCTACTCGTGATAAGGCGTCTGCCACGACGTTGTCTGGGCCCGCGACGTATCTGATGTCCGTGGAAAACTGGGCGATGTAGTCCAGTCTCCTGTATTGCCAGGGTGAAGCTCGTTCCGGTTTCTGTTGGAACGCATGAGTCAGCGGTTTGTGATCGGTGAAAATTATCACATGTCGTCCTTCAAAGATGTGCCTGAAGTGCAGTACTGCCTCGTAGACTGCTTGCAATTCCCTGTCGTAAGCCGCGTGTTTTTGCAAAGAAATTCCAAGTTTTTTGCTGAAGTAGGCTAACGGCTGCCAGAAACCGTGGTGTTCCTGCTGTAGAATGGCGCCGATCGCGTGATCCGACGCGTCTGTGAAGATAGCCCACTCTGCCTCGATATTTGGATGAGACAACAGAGTGGCTTCTACACTAGCGCTTGCTTGCTGCGCGTGAATGCTTCTTCAAGGGCTGGAGACCAGGCTACTGGTTGTTTTCCCTTGACGTTCGTCCCCTGAGTCACGGCGTTCAGCGGAGCGAGGATTTCTGCTGCTCCTTTGATGAACTTCCGGTAGAAATTTAGAGTTCCGAGGTATCTACGTAGCGATTTGACCGTTGTTGGCCTTGTGAACTCCAGGATCGCGTTGACTCGATCCTTGGGGGGTTTAATTCCGTGAGCGTTGATCACGTGCCCGAGGAAAAGTACCTCTGGCTGTCCGAGAACTCATTTGGCGACGTTGATTATCAGCCCGTAGTCCTGGAGTCCTTGGAAGAGGATCCTCAGGTGCTCGCGATGTTGCTCCGCGTCTTCCGATGCTACCAAGATGTCGTCTATGTACGGGGACAAAAATGGTAGATCGCATGTGACCTCGTCGATCAGACGTTGGAATGTCTGAGCTGCGTTTCTGAGGCCAAATGTCATGTATGAGAATTCGAAGAGTCCGAATGGCGTGATTATTGCCGTGTTCTGGATGTCTTCGCGTGCCACTGAAATTTGGTTGAAGGCTTTAACCAAATCTATGGTGGAAAAGATTGTTTTGCCATGAAGGTTAGCAGCAAACTCTTCTAGATAGCGAACAGGATACTTATCTGGTATTGTCCTGTCGTTGAGTGCGCGGTAATCACCGCATGGCCTCCATCCGTTGTTGCCCTTCGGAGCTAGGTGGAGCGCGGATGCCCAGGGACTTTCAGATCTCCTCGCGGTTTCAAGCGTCAGCATGCTGGAGAACTCCGCTTGAGCGGTTTTGAGTTTATCCGGCGCTAGGCGGCGAGCTCTGCAGGAGATTGGTGGTCCTGGTGTTGTCCTTATGTGATGAACGGTGGAGTGCTCCGCTTTTCTGAGCAATCCTCCCGGTTTTGTTATTGCTGGGAACTCTTTGAGGATCGNCGTGCCACTGGAATTTGGTTGAAGGCTTTAACCAAATCTATGGTGGAAAAGATTGTTTTGCCATGAAGGTTAGCAGCAAACTCTTCTAGATAGCGAACAGGATACTTATCTGGTATTGTCCTGTCGTTGAGTGCGCGGTAATCACCGCATGGCCTCCATCCGTTGTTGCCCTTCGGAGCTAGGTGGAGCGCGGATGCCCAGGGACTTTCAGATCTCCTCGCGGTTTCAAGCGTCAGCATGCTGGAGAACTCCGCTTGAGCGGTTTTGAGTTTATCCGGCCCTAGGCGGCGAGCTCTGCAGGAGATTGGTGGTCCTGGTGTTGTCCGTATGTGATGAACGGTGGAGTGCTCCGCTTTTCTGAGCAATCCTCCCGGTTTTGTTATTGCTGGGAACTCTTTGAGGATCGACGCGTACGGTGAATTCTCGTTGATCTCGAGGAGCTTGACAGACATAGCGCGAAATCTTGTGAACTGGCCTGTTGATTTGAGACCCGTTGAGCTGTCGATGAGGTATTCATTCCTCAAATCAGGTAACAGGTTGAAATGATGCAGAAAATCAGCACCGATAATAGGTCGATTGACATCTGCCTCGATGAAACGCCATGTGAACTCTGCGGAGACCGAGATCTGGCGAGATGGATGCATATCCATACGTATTGATGAGGGTTCCATTGGCTGCGAAGAGTTGATAGCCGCTGGTGTCCTTCTGTTTTGCTGGCCGCCTGTAAGGCGTGACAGAGACGTCTGAGCCTGTGTCCACAAGGTATTGGGTCCCAGTCGTTCTGTCTATTACGAATAGGTGGCGGGATTTAGTATGAGAGACGGCTTCCGCCACTATCGTCTCTCGTTGGAGTTTTCCTGAAACTTACAACCAGGTTGGCAGTTACGCGCATTTTCGCCGTATCTGTGATGATACCAGCAGGTGTCGAATTTCTTTAATACTTTCCTGGAGCTGGAACGTCGGCGTGAGTTGTTGCGCTGCCCATGTGAGTACTCTGAACGTGTGCGTGATAGCGAGCGTGAGTTTTTCACTCGTAACTCTGCGACAGTTGCCGTCAGCTGTTCGATTCGCTCGAGGAGTGCTGCGTTGATCGCGTTGTCTGCTGAGGTGGTGATGGCTGCGACGCTGTTTGGGTGAAATATCTCGTGCACCCTGTCTGCTAGCTTCGCGAAATCATCAATGGAAGCGTTCTCCTGGGTAGCGAGTGTAGCTCGCGTTTGCTCGGGGAGATGAGACAACCAGCGCGTTTTTAGGACCTCGTCGTCAATGCCTGGAACAAGACTTCTTAAATGTCTCAGCTGCTTCGATGGCGTTCGATCACCAATGCTCTCCCTGTCGAGCAATTGGATGATGTTCGCAGTCCTGGATTTTGTGAAACATCTGATTAGTTCGTTTTTTAATGTTTGGTATGGATTTGTTACAGGTCTGGAGACAATTAAATGTTCGACTTCTGCGGCGTAAGCAGTGTCGATCAGCAGTACCGTTTTGTTGTACTTATCTGACTCGATGACGTATCCCAGGTCAGCGAACTGTGTCTCCAGCTGCGCGAACCATAGCGCGGGTTTGTCCGCGTCGAACGGCCTTGCGATGAGCCTGGGCCTCATTGTAGCCGTTGCTGTCGTTACGGTGGCAGTTGTTTGGATGTCAGCTGCTGTTGTTGCCATGTCGATTTGATTTTATTTTATTTTATTTCAGAGAGAAATAAAATCGATGAATTTTACTTCACAGCGCGATTAAACCTAAGGAATAAATTTGTGAGAAAAATAAAGGGTGTTATAGTCTCTATTTGTCACCAACACAACACAACGTCTATGGGTGTTCGGCAATGTGTGGGCGCGAGGTCACAAATATTCACTCGGATATCACTTTTATTCGGTTTGTTTTGGTTCCGCGAGAATAATGGGAAACCAAGGTCTTGACGCTCGGACGGTTGGAATGTTCCAGAAATCTCGAGACGCCGTCGTTTAAGAATCGAAGCGTGGGTCACACAACAAAATTAATTATTTTCAGAAGCGCGCCACTTAACTAGAATGCACTCGCGAGATTCACTGCAACACTTGAAAAACTGAGTCACGCGTGTTGTCCGGAGAAACGGATGAGAACGCGTGGACGAGAGAATGAATTTTCCAGTTGCACTGCAAGCGCGCGAGTCGCGAGGGTTTTCACTTTTGTCGTTTAAAACGTCGAATTTCCCTAATTAGATCACGTCGGGGTCACCAATGTAGGAATTGAGGTTGTTGAGGGATGTAACAATTCACTAACAAATGTAATTCAGAATATAAATTACAGTTTAATCAAGACGTTTCGAATATATACAAAAGGNTTTCTTTAATACTTTCCTGGAGCTGGAACGTCGGCGTGAGTTGTTGCGCTGCCCATGTGAGTACTCTGAACGTGTGCGTGATAGCGAGCGTGAGTTTTTCACTCGTAACTCTGCGACAGTTGCCGTCAGCTGTTCGATTCGCTCGAGGAGTGCTGCGTTGATCGCGTTGTCTGCTGAGGTGGTGATGGCTGCGACGCTGTTTGGGTGAAATATCTCGTGCACCCTGTCTGCTAGCTTCGCGAAATCATCAATGGAAGCGTTCTCCTGGGTAGCGAGTGTAGCTCGCGTTTGCTCGGGGAGATGAGACAACCAGCGCGTTTTTAGGACCTCGTCGTCAATGCCTGGAACAAGACTTCTTAAATGTCTCAGTTGCTTCGATGGCGTTCGATCACCAATGCTCTCCCTGTCGAGCAATTGGATGATGTTCGCAGTCCTGGATTTTGTGAAACATCTGATTAGTTCGTTTTTTAATGTTTGGTATGGATTTGTTACAGGTCTGGAGACAATTAAATGTTCGACTTCTGCGGCGTAAGCAGTGTCGATCAGCGGTACCGTTTTGTTGTACTTATCTGACTCGATGACGTATCCCAGGTCAGCGAACTGTGTCTCCAGCTGCGCGAACCATAGCGCGGGTTTGTCCGCGTCGAACGGCCTTGCGATGAGCCTGGGCCTCATTGTAGCCGTTGCTGTCGTTACGGTGGCAGTTGTTTGGATGTCAGCTGCTGTTGTTGCCATGTCGATTTGATTTTATTTTATTTTATTTCAGAGAGAAATAAAATCGATGAATTTTACTTCACAGCGCGATTAAACCTAAGGAATAAATTTGTGAGAAAAATAAAGGGTGTTATAGTCTCTATTTGTCACCAACACAACACAACGTCTATGGGTGTTCGGCAATGTGTGGGCGCGAGGTCACAAATATTCACTCGGATATCACTTTTATTCGGTTTGTTTTGGTTCCGCGAGAATAATGGGAAACCAAGGTCTTGACGCTCGGACGGTTGGAATGTTCCAGAAATCTCGAGACGCCGTCGTTTAAGAATCGAAGCGTGGGTCACACAACAAAATTAATTATTTTCAGAAGCGCGCCACTTAACTAGAATGCACTCGCGAGATTCACTGCAACACTTGAAAAACTGAGTCACGCGTGTTGTCCGGAGAAACGGATGAGAACGCGTGGACGAGAGAATGAATTTTCCAGTTGCACTGCAAGCGCGCGAGTCGCGAGGGTTTTCACTTTTGTCGTTTAAAACGTCGAATTTCCCTAATTAGATCACGTCGGGGTCACCAATGTAGGAATTGAGGTTGTTGAGGGATGTAACAATTCACTAACAAATGTAATTCAGAATATAAATTACAGTTTAATCAAGACGTTTCGAATATATACAAAAGGGAAAGAATCATCAAAGTGATCTGATCGGAGGTCAGTGTTAGACTCTACTGACTATCTTAAACCGCGTAAGACAGGAATTTGGATATGCATGACAATAGGTTCGCACCTATTGCGAGAGGTATTTTATACTGGGCGCATGACAGAGCGCGATGATGTCACCGATGTCCAGTCGTCTCTCAGCGTTGTCGTATCCGTGCGTGTATTACGCGTTGGTGTTTGTGTAGCGAGACGCTACACCCCCACACCACCCGCCCCACCTGACCGTGTCACAAGTACCCTAAGACATACCTGACGCATAAGTTTGCCCTCGAACTCAGCAATCCTCCTTTCCCAGAATAAAACTCTTACCATACGATTAGACAGATTAGATAGTATGCACCGGTATGGGTGATTGGCAGCACGTGGAGCATTAGCTCTAATCCTAGGCTCATCAATACGAATAATCGCCCCTGTCACATCTCTGAAAATGAAAAACAAACTAATTATTCACTGCATTTCTATTCTTTTCTGTTTATTTTCTCAGTTAATGTTTTTCTGTTCGGAATCATGCTCGAAAAATGAAAGATTTTCACTTCCATCGCCACGTGAAGGGCCCATTCTAACCTCAATTCTCATATGCACTTAATCCATCATTAAATGTAATAAAAAATTGAAAAATATCTTACACCAGAGTGTCGCCCACTTCAGTTGATCTAATTCATCGTCCGATGTCAACAGGTGCTCATATCTTTGCTCAGCCATGACGGATTTGATTGTTCCGATATAATTACACTGTTCTCTTCGCCAAAGGCTAACCGGAAAGGCCGACATTTCACGGAGCGCAAGTGACATACGGTTGATCATAGAAATCATCTTTTCATTTTCAATACAGCTCCACCTGGCTCCTGATTGCCCGCAGTTATTCAAATTTCGTTAGGCAACACTTGATACTTTCACTCCAGACATTCGTCAATTAAATGTTGAAGATGAAAATTTGGGATAAATTATGGATAATCAGAAACCTCCAAATCACATAATCTAAGATGTGATTTTTCTTTGGAACGATCTCTTTTATGGATGAGAGAAAAAATACGACTTTTTAAACTAATTTTTTTGGCACGAAATCAATTCCTGATGAAATAAATTAATTATTTTTCTCCAATTACGATGTTTGTTATAGAAAATTGTTGTCAGTAGATTGCTCATAGAAATGGTGGTAATCGTTGAAAATTTCCCTGTGTCAATCATTTTATAAATTTTTAATTAAGAAGTAAACTCTGTATTTTTGTCCTTACTTTTAAAGTATTTCTTATCTTTTCGAAATATTTCTTATGGAAATTCATATTGTATGATTAAGGTCAAATTCAAAAGTGTTGGGAAATTCCAAGTTTTTAGAATCAAATATTGAAATGTTTCATTGTCAAATCAAATTCTTCATTATTCAAATATATTGTAACACCTTTTACATTCAACTCATTAACGTTTATCATTCTGGAGTGAGACAATTATCAGTTCTCGGACTATTCAACAGTCTTACTGATATCTTTAAATATTAATGAGGACGAAGGTTCTTCTTTTAAAAAATCATTAAGAATCATTGTGCCTTTAAAATACTTTTCATACCACTTCTCAAGTAGATGAACGCAGGAAAGATAATAATAAAAATAAAAAAAAATCATTTTTGATCATGAAGTAGACACAAACTGTCAACAATCGAAAAACATCAACGTAATTGATGAAGCCAAGCATTTTTTATTCATCATTTAAAATACTCATGTTTTATGCACCTTGCATGGAAAAATTACAATTTCTTTCCTTTAAAAAAAATAAATTGTGATCATTGTAGAAAAAAGAATTTTTTTTTTTTTTTACTGAACAGGGACCAAACGAATTTCATCATCATAATGACACAAAATATTCAATTATTTCTCATTAAGGGCGAGTAGGGCAGAACTGAACATTTCTGGTTTATCCAGGATGTTGAGAAGTTTTGAATTATGTATAAGATAATTTTTTTCCATTAAAAGTGAATTTTTCGAATTTTTGATGAGATTAAATTAAACTCCATTGATAACTTCATTTCAGAATTATGAAAATAGAAATGAAATGTTTCCATTTTGCCCCGTCTTCTCTTCACATCTAAATATATATAAAAATGAATCAAATAGACTACAACGATATTGAATTTCCGAGGAGCTGTGACGAACCTTTTGGCTCAAGAAATTGTTTAAATTTTCCTTTGTGCTCCGGTGCTTCAGTTGCCAGGGTTTAAATGAAGGAAATTAATTTAAAACGCCGTTCGTCCAGTAAATTATCTCCAAATTTCAAATTTGTCCCAGTTCTCCCGTTTTACCAGCTTTTCCAATCTATTACCAGATTTTTCCAGACTTACCAAATTTTTACCCAGGTTTCCCAGATACCAGATTTCCACAAATTTTGAATCGCGTGTTCCGTTTTCCGTCAATTTCGCGATAAAGTGTCAGCCCCCCAGAGACCAGAAGAGTTTGATTACCAAAATTTTGGACTGAACGTTAACGCTTTTCGACCCTCCACACAACGATTCCCCAGAATAATTCTACGAGATCCTCTCGAGAATTATTTTACCCGACAGTTAAATTTCAAAAGTTCTATTTAAACATGAAAACGAATCTCTCAGTTTAAGCCGATTCATCTAGCCTTGAGGTCATCATAGAGATTATAGTTTTCATCACAATTTTTATTAATAAACAAATAGCCAATACATTTCTCAATTCAAAAATTAGATAGAAGCCAAATAATATTATCATTGTACATAAAATCTTTCCCTTTTTGTTCAATTTGAAATTATTCTCCTCCATTAAATAAATCCAATTAAGTAAATGAACCAATTAACTCAACAATCAATTTTTCTAAAACTCTAACCTTAATTCGCGCCAATCGTTCAGTCCATGAATCGCACTCCTCTGGATCGTCCGTCGGTAAAACGAGTTCACGACCGTCGGTACAACAGAATATCCACCGAAATTCAAGATGGCTGAGTCGGCGAACGAGTGACTTCGCTCCCCTCCTCAGTACTTCGCAAATAATAATTACCACCCCAAAAGAATATTTCCCCCTCGCGAACGTTCCACCCCGCGTGGCTCTACCACGACAGTTTTACCCGTCGCTGTCAAGGGCTCGACCACAGCTCGCTTTTAGTCCAAGACTAATTAAGCTGGCTGCTGACAAAAACACTAATATGGCTCGACCACAGCACACAAGTAGCAAAATGCTAATTTAGTAGCTGCTGACAAATTGGCTCTACCACAGCTCGCGATAGTCAAAAGACTAGTGTCGCTGGCTGCTGTCAATGGCTCGACCACAGCTCGCTTTTAACTAAAAGTTAATGTCGCTGGCTGCTGACAATTGGTTACTTTTCTCTCCTCCGGCGAGGATCGTAGGTGAACCCGGGTGAGGCCTTCCTGATCGCCTCACCACACCTGAATACCGAAACTGAGCCGCTGCTCGAAACTTAATACCTTTACAGCGCTATTTGACTCGCAGAAATAATGCGCCACCTAGGTCGGTCGCGGAACTACTCAATTTCGAAATATTCCCCGAGAGTCAATAGCCCACTCAACCATCTTTGCTCCAATTTCTTAAATTCGTATATCTTAATACTTATTCTTAATTGCATAAAATCAAATTAAAATGTAAAATCAAATTATTCTTTATTTATTGGTTGTGAGTTCCTCACACTCTCCCCCTTCTTCAAAAAAAAGAAATGAGTTCCACTCATTTATTTTTCAAAAATACTTTTCAAGTACATAACAATGATTCTTGTTATTCTAAATCCCAGTTTGTTTCAGTCTTTTGGGTTGCATTTGGCTGATTTCCCTAAAAGATACTATATCAAAATCTCTTATAAAATAAACAAAAGTACATCTCAAAAAAAAAACAAAGTATCCAAATCTTTTATAAACTAGACTTTCAGTCATGGCAGCTTCTTATACACTGTCTTATGAGCAAACTTCTTAACAATCTCTACAGTGCCATCTCTAACTATTTTGCGTTTCCTCCCACGATTCCTCCTTCTCTTGTATGCCATCTCCCAAGGCACATCAACTGCTTCTCCACCGGGTTGATTCTTTGGTTGGATTGAATAGCAAAAATCAGGCAACTCAGGTTCGTCCCGGATTTCCCCATCCTCCAACTCGTCCCAGTCCGCCTCACAGTACTCATTATAATTAAGATCTCTTCCCGGCCAATAATTTAGGAATTCTCTATTTTCCCCGTGAGATTTGTACTCCTCAGCAAATCTTCGGGCATTTCCCCCAATTGCGGATCCGAACCCTGGACCCTCAAAATCGATCATCTCACTAACCGATGACATTCTTGACAACGA